CACATCACGAACGTTTTCAAACTTTATATCCAAAACATTATTATTTATGCATATTGATTTAGTTTAAAGGCGGAACTGAAAAAGCGAAAAGGTATAATCATCGATACCTACTAATAATATAGTATAACCATAGTATTATTTTTTTAATTGCTATGTTTAACATCAGATTTGTTTGGCAAATCCTTCGACGGATACTTTGTGTATATGATGTAGATAAAAGTTAAGGGTTGACATTTTAAAAAGTTTTAAGCATCTATAAAAAAATGTAATTGATATTATAAATAGATCAAAACTGTTAATTTTTACTAGAACATTTTTGTTAAAATATTTGTTATAATATATGTATATATATAGGGACAACCGATTTTGTTATTTTTTTACTTTTCTCGGTACATAGCTCAGACCAATGAATTAAAATTTAAAAAAATAATTAACTAATGTATAAAATTATATCTCCTCTCCCTCCTTCATTTCCTAGTAGCGTGTACGCATCGTGTATATGTAGAATCGCGTTTCGATCGATGTCGACTATTCGTGCTGAACATAATGTATAACATTGTACGGCTTTACTGTGTATATACATGACCGCATATATATATATATATATATATATATTATATAGTGTATGTACCGTTATAGAAGAGAAGAAAAGGGTAAAGGGGCGCTCAAGGAGTGGGGGATCAATACACGTTGACGTGCGACCACTCGTGTCGATGATAAGGGAGATCACCACCACCACCACCACAACTACCACCACTACCATCGTCTCCACTACCACCCCTCAGGGTTGGTGGCCGCACACTGAGGGGGCGGTGATCAATACGATGCCGTGGGTCAGTAAACCTCCTCTCCTACGTGCCCTTTCCCGTTGTTGACTTCCCCTTATTCTGCTCAAACTCACTCTCTCCTCTACCCTCGTCACCGGTACAGTATATATATATAATATATATGTGGCCATGCAAGAGACTACATAACAAGCACCTGTAAGGATTCTTCTGTTCGACCCGCTCTCCTCCTCCAATATCACTCTTCACGCTAGTCGTTTGTGTGTATTTAGTCGATATAAGTGTTACCCCCACTCCTTTAAACCATAGCCTAGGCAATGTGGTAGTATCGAGAATATTTCCATCGTCATTCCACGGATGGTTGCGTAATGTTTCTTATTTTTAATTAAAGCTGTAGTTAGTATTTTTGCATAGCAGCGTTTCGAATCGATAACACGGCGTTTTGTATAGGCAAAATAGGTACACGAAAAATATTTTTTTTATCTGATTAGGGGAACTGACCAAGCAGAAGGGCACAAAAGACGGCTAAATCCATTTGCGGTAATTAAATTATAATTGCAAAATATATTAATGCCGTTATATTGTTTACACACGTGCTATCAAAACCAACATTTAAGAAGAATTAAAAAAAAAAAAAAGTTAACTATACTATTACCGTACACGGTTATACGTCTATAAATTAATGAATTATAAATATAATTAATAATTATATTATAATATTAATTATATATATATATATATATAATGTATCTCATCATTTCGATTATAAGTTAAAATTAACTGTGCAAAAACTTTTCAACAAATGAAAATAAACGATACGTTTTTATCGAAACGCTTTGATATATTATAAATATGAAGTTTGGAATTTGCGGTGGATTATAATTAGTTAAAGGGTACACCGTCAAGAAGGAAAACAAATATTGGAATAAACCTAAATCAATAAAGTAAGCTGCACACCACTTACATTCCAAATAGACACTTTTAGGTACCTCAATTGTTTAAATAAACGTCAACATTTATGTATATTAAATGTAATTATGTATTTATGTTTCAAATTAAAAATAATATTTTTTTGACAAACACGATTATGAATTAGTTAAAATTTTAGTTCAACATTTTAGCTAGTGAGATATGAGAACTACTAGTATTTGATTTGATTTTAGTTAGCGATAAAAACATTTATACTGCAAATTTTAGCATAAACAAACGACTGAAGTTATCAATTTGTATTCAGCGTTGGTTATAAAGTTCAGTTTTAAAATAAATAAATAATTTGTTATTCCTTGTGTCCAATAAATGTTGTATTTTTGTAACTAATCAAATATTTGTAAAGTAATGGTGTTATACTACGAATAATGTAGAATTGGATGATGAAGTCAACAGAGCTCAGGACATCTCTCCACTGAAATTCCCTAAATACTGGCTTAATATCCTGATAATAAAAATAAAATATAATTTCTGTGTATATTCTTAATCCACTCTGCCAAAAATAAATCATAGCTACGCACTTGGTTATAATACATTTTGTATATTAGCACCATATTGTGAGTTTCATTTATTTTAAATAACTCTAATTTGGGTTTATTTACTTCAATATTTTTACTGAACACAGCAGTTTTCACGAAAGACGCCGACTTGATTGAATCACTGCTTTAATTTGTTTTTCCAATGAACTTCTTTAACAACATTATACTCCTTCTTTAATAGTATTAAAATGTCTAATTGAATTTTATTCCGCTCGTATAGGCTTTAAATTTCAAAAATCTAATTACACAATGATTTACGACAGAAGATCTAATATAGAACGTCTACTAGTCTAGAATAATACGTGTCGTCGTCGAATAATAATTTAAAATTAATTCAACGGAGTGTGGTACATAAATAGAACGTTGATTAAAATTCAATATTCTTAAAGGACTTTTTGTGTTAGTGCTGCGACGGGTAGAGATTGTGTACAAAATATCGAATACGTACATCTTTAATAGCATGAAAGAAACATCCTATAGCGTAAATTGCATTATAAAAAAAACTAACTATTACAGTGACATCGACGTTTAGGTTAGAGAAAATTGTTTTAAAGTAGGTACTTCTGATTTCCGAAAGAGTGAACAGTGTCCTGTGTAAATAATAATAATAATACATCCTTGTTCCGTAAACAGTAGATTGGACGATTAGATACAATAGTTTTTTGACATGTCAACGAAGAGATGCTGTCTAAATGACAGTCCGGTCCTCCGATTGTTATTGTAACGGTTATGTGACGTTATTCGCAGACGGTCCGGAGACGCGGAAAATAAACATTAGTTTTAATGTACTGAAGTTTTGTACTTTTGTTATGGTTTGCAGGATCGTAAACAAATGCTAAATAATAACAACAATAATAATAATAATAATAATGATGAAAAAGTGTCTAAAAAGTGGAATACTTCGAATTCCGCTTTTGTATTTAATAGTTATCGTTACAACACATTAATTTGGCTTGTGCGGAAATGTATGCAATTCAAACTGACTATTATTGTTTTTGGCGAACAAAAAAAAAAAAAAAGCGTATCGGAAATAAATTGATCGCCATCGCTGTTTTATGGATATTAAACCCTAAAGTTATAACTGCGCGATGGCAAATATTTGCACGGTCAATGTCCGACCCTGGACAACGATTACTATCATGAAGTTTTTATATAGTTTAATTCGGGAATTAGTCGATTGAGTCTTGCCGGTATAGTTTTTATAATGGACGCATAAGTGGATTTACGTTAATCGTATTATAATATTATACATAGTATACCTATCATGTATCGAATAGCGTTGGTTGTTATCGGCATGCAATGTAGTACAAACGGCAGTCGATTAAACGTAAAACACAGTTTTCTCTTTAGTTTTTATTTATACATTTTTTGTTTTTAACGTAGACGTGACAAATACCTGTTGTCCACCGCCGTCTGCGGCGCTACTCGGAGGGATCAAATAATATCTATATATAATATATATATACAATGTACATTGTATTTATGAAAAAACACAACCCGTCTCTTTGGCGATTCGGGGTAGGACATACGGCCATAAGGCGTAGAAGGACCGATCGGTATTCAGTGCGCGTGTGGTCGTCTTTGCCATCCCATAGTAACAGTGCGGTGGTAGCGACCTGTTGATTCGAATGTACATTACCCTTCGCCGTCCCGGCAAAAGTCGCACCCCGCCAGTCGACATTAAGCCGGCCAAAATGAATAGTCTTCAATAACATAACATTACACTCAAAATGCTATAATATCGATTTGTATTCCGCGCCTTGCAGCGTCAGGTTAGGTTCATTTCCCAAAGTTATTCGAATAACGACAAGTATGCACGTTGACTATGCTACTGCGGTCGTAAATAGTTGTGCCGAACTAAACAAAAGCGAAAACGCACTTACTCCGCACATTCCGGGTAGAGTAAGCTATACCGCAGTATTTAAGCAAAACTTAAAACGTTTGAACTATATTTCGTGTAAATAAATAATAATCCCGAGTGGTTTTAGCACCGAATTATTTACAAGGAAATCGAAAAAGAAAATTATATCGGGTGTATTTGTTTTATGTCAACACAAGCTGCCAGGCCAAAGACGGTAATGCTTATTGTATTAAACTCGGTTACCAATATATTTGATACGGCTCATGGACTACAAAATATACTATTGAATTATACACAATAATCGGCTGGAAAACAAATGCAGATTTTGTTTCTGGAAAACGATTGAGGTTCGAATTCTTCAACGTTTAACTGTAGAAAATCGTAGGTAATTAAACGAAATGTGTAGTTGCCATTATTACCAGGTATATATAACAATATTATGAGGTACACGACAAATCCTTGAATATTATTATTTATTATTGACTATTGTGCACGAGTCTAATCTAATCGCATGACCGAGTTTCGCCGGTGTTATCAAACAAACTGGCATAAGAAACGTACAAAGTTGTAAACACAATATTATTATACTCTACATTAGGTCTTTTGCACGCGTCCAAAAAGAAATCTGTCCCAAACCGACCCGGCCGATATTGATCTTAACGCGTGCACACATATAATATACACATAATATATAGCATATGCCCATATAACAGGGGTAACTATAATAATACACAGGATGAGGACGAAGCGGTCCGCTTAACGGCTGTATTATTGTGCGAACATGATACACCTTAATATTGTTACTATAATATGTATTGTGTCACTTACCAGTGGCGTTATGATGGTCTTGTTGCATGTTTTCAAAAACTTAACGTTGACCAGTTTACCGATTAATTTAGAACCGCTGGACTTGAAACGTTTATCCGGAACGTCTGTATTATGGCACACTGTTGACTTGACCGACTTCCGTTCATTTTCTGAGAAAAAATTACGAGTACATGGACATATTATTTAAATAAAAAAATAGAAGATCGCGTTAAAACTGGTTTTGAATGCGCTTAAACTAAATCCATCGGTGGTTTACTGTTCGACAGATATTTTACCATTTAAAACACAGCTGGAACTTAATCGTTCCACTACAGCCGGCATACGCAGAGGTAGAATATTAGTATTTATTATATACTTGACCCGAATTCTATCTGCTGACGAATATTACCAATAGGTCGTTTGATTTTTTTTTTTAATATTAAAATTAAACATCGTTGGAATAACTACTCTTACTTTAGAAATTATTAAATGATCGTCGAATGTAGCTATGAAATGTTTTCAAGTAGAGAGACGAAACAAGTTTGTTTTGTTTTGTTAGATAGCCAAGCAAGTGGTAGTATTATATTGTATAGTTCACACAGTTATAAATATATTTTTTTACTATTTAGGAAATCGTTGATAATTGTTAAAATAAAAAAATTAACGCTAGCAGAAAAAATGTAGTCGTTTTTTGTATTAGTAAGTTTTTTCATTGATATATCGAAAGTAGAACTCTAACATTAACTGTGAACTATTTTTTTCAAATGCTTCATAATTTGTATGTAAAAAAAATTATTTTAAAAATTATTATTTAAAGATGGAGGTTATTAATTTTTAGTTATGGCAATAATTTGCCCTATGTTTCTGTTCTAACTATTTAAAAATTTAATAATATTAAACATTCTTACAAACAAAAACATATACAGAAAAAACATCAAGCTAAAAATGTTAGCATTTGCCAAAAAAAAACACGTTACGCATCACAATCATTAAAAAACAATCCGTATTTGCTATAAGATATTTTTTTTGAACTATACACTAAGAACATATTATACGATTCCATAAATAAATTAGTTTGGCGGTAAAATTCCCTTGGTAGGCGGGATAAACCAATACCGGTCGACCGGTTTGGATAAACTGTTCTAGTGTGTCTATGCTTAAACGGCAGAGCATACCACGACTTTTTAACTGCCTTATTTACTTTATTCATACGATAGTTGACCATAATGCGTTCATAGATATTTTTTATTTTTAAATTCGTCTATAGAAAATATAGCGAAAACTAAAAGATAGTTTGATAAAACATTTTTCGTAAGGGCATAATATCTTTCCATTATTCCCTTCTGTGTTGATGCAAACTTAGGTTAATCGAATGCTAAACTATATATTTAAAAATATTCATTTTAATAATTATCTTGTATATTGTGATAACAATCCAGTTAAATCGGTGTATGATGTTTACTATTGTTTCTACAAGAAATTTCGTTTATTAATATAATAATAAAGTTTCTGGGTTGCTCCTAAATAAATGGCAAAGCCTAATTAATTGTGTTTTATTTTTGATATTTATTTTACACTTGATAGAAATCTAACGAGTATTCATATATTATTTAAACAATGTATAATATCACCTTCCTATGGTGCAGCTAGGTGCTGAGCATCAAGCGAACTCGTCGACCACTTTCCTGTGCGTAGCGCAAGAAGGACAGCCGTATGGAAACCCTTGATGATCCAGACAAACGTTTTTGAGAATAGGAGATCGCAGTCAAAAGCTCAATACGGTATTAGTGCCTGCGAAGGTGTACAGGTGTACAGTGACGTCTTCGATGGCCAGTGGCGTATTGAGCTTTCGCGCGCACGTGCTGGTGGTCGCCGGTATCGTTGCGGCGTTTGCGCGCGTGGATCGAACGCCGACGAGGGGAAGGCGGTGAAGAATGGAGGGGAGGAAAACGGTTCGCACACAAACACTAACCCCTCCCCAAAAGCCTTTTTAGCCGACGTTTTTTGCGGCGGCGCGTACGTAACACAATAACGGATACAACGCACTCAATGAGTAGGCGGAGGCAGCACGGCGCGGCAGAGAGGAGTCGAAACGCGTTCGGTGGCGGCTGCCACAGCCACAGACGCCGGCGGCAAACACAGGCGCGAGCGGCGGACCAAGCGGTGGTGTCCGCGCGCGCCGCCGTGGGAATCAATACCTTCGTTGCGTACGCTACCGTTGCCGCCGTGGCCAATCCATCGGTTTTCGACCGCACGGCGCCGCGGCGCCGTCGACACCGTTGTTCCGCATACCCAACACGGGTCGGTGGCGGTGGGTCTATATACATACCATAATATATACCCATACACATAGGCGCGGGCTATACATACCGTATGGATTTTTGGCGTTAGGTTATGTGTGTGTGTGTGTTTTGGACGCATGTGGATAGCAGCGACGGTGGCACCTCTCCCAAAGGGTTTCGCGGCCGACGGGGAAAAAAGAGGGGAGGTGACCCGCGGCTGTTGGCCCTGTTCACCTCTGTTGTCCTTTTGGTTCTATACTATACTTAAACGTAAAGGAGGTGTGCGGCAACGGGTATAAGAGGAGTGCGAGAGAGAAAATAAGGTTCCCCTCCTGTCCAATGCTCGACCGACCTTTGCGATAAAGTCAGAGCCGCTAAAAGCCGGGTGCATGGGCCCAAGTAAATGAAGTGAGTGGTATTTTTAAAAATGATTTTTCGAAGAGCCTGAATAAATGAGAGATGACCAAGGTGGAAAATTCAATCCGGTCCGGCGTTTCGTCGTTACATTGAACTCGAGAGAGGCTTTGGAAATCAATGTTTTCGCCCCTCATCCTCCCTATGACTCGTGTGGGCGACGAGTAGTCAAACAAAGACTGGTTGACGAAAACAACACGAGTACCAAAACTACACAATAATGCAGGGCCGTACAATGAGTTGATATAATTAAAATTGCATTGCGGTTAAAAATTCTGCCATAGTCGTTGTTTGATGGTTAATAGATTATTGAATATTTGAAGGGCCGTTAAACTTCTAACAAACTTTTTTGCCACCCAATATAACCAGATCAGTTCAGAAATTGTTGTGACGGTTCAACGTAAAACAAATAAATTACAGTATACATTTTGCTGTATGTGTATGTAACCTATTCATTGATTTTGTAAAGAGGAATGCTTGGCTATTAATTCGTTTGCCCCTGGTCAACGCATCAAACTTTTGTAAACACTGCATAATATTATGTTAACGAATAATAAATACGTCCCTATTATATATATATATATATATATATGTAATAATAAAAATAGCCAGGTTAGCCAGGTCTTAGTGTTTGTAAACAACACAAACAAGTATTTGTAATTTATTTAAATATCATCTTGTATTGTATATTACGCAGCTGGTTCGAATTGGTAGTTATTGCGACTTAATAATACTTACAATAGTCACCTTATAATGGTCAGTTTACAACAGTTATAAAAAATAAAAAATGATACCACACATAAAATATGCTACACCAATGAGTAAACAAAATAAAATATAGTAATTACTATACCATGATAACATATAGCTAGCATAAAGTTGATATCAAATATGCTTTCTTGTAGTATGATTTATGACATGTAATATTTAAATTTTAATGATTTGATTAAACTATGAAAATACAACACAAAAAGTTGTAACTACATACACAAATAACCGAGTTTAAAATGTCATTAGATTAAACTGAAATCAGTATTATTTAATGTAGCTTTTATTTTTTAAATGTTAAGTTCCTGAAATGAATACTATTATTTTTTGTTAACATCAATTTTTCTATGTTTCAATTCAATTTTTATAGTACATGTATTCACACAAGGAGTATACTTGCGTTTCTATTAATTTAACTTTCTAAATTATTACTATTTGATTTATAACGATTTATTACACCACCACTATCAAATTTCAACGTGAATAAAAAAAGTCAAAATGGTAAACTAAGAGCTACACTCCACAGCAAAAAATAGTATATTATTATGCTGTAGATACTCGGAGGAGATAACTATTTCTTTGGATAGTCGTCTGCTTAGAAAAACCTTCAGTGACTAATATAGTCAAACCAGTAACTATGTGTATTATTACAGTCCCTTTATTTTACTCGACTATATGTGGCGCCCTGTTTGATGACAATAATTTAAGAATAATATAATTTACGTGAGCCACATTACGTTTGGGGAAAATCGGCCAAGATCTAAGAAGACTGTTCCCCTTGCCTATATAAGCACAGTTTTACAAAATTGTGGTCTTCATATTTGTCACGCATTTGAATTTGAAATTCTCTGAGATTTATGAAAAATTCTTATACTTCCTGCATCTAAAGTTAAAGAATTAATGTTTTCTGTATGTTTATAAATATTCAAAACTTTTCACCGTCCATGAACATCAACAAATATAAGACAAATATGTGAATTTTTACCTTAACACGCTATATATTTCATAATGGTGAGTATCAAAATAAACATTACTAGTTTACTAATCAGTCATACCACTGAAAATTGAAATCTCCAATACACCTTTCGCTAATTTGTTTATTTTCAAACACTTGTTGTTTTTGTTATTACGCTTTAAACATATTTCTAAAAATATTTGTATCTTTTCATACTAGGTATCATGCATGATAACTCCTGTGGGGTGTAAGATTGGTGAGACCCTATAAAGGCACGGTTATAGCCTAAAAATCAATGAAACTGTGTCGTGTGTAAGTACTCGTAAAAAAGGTTTCCGGTCAAGTAGTCTAGTCAGTTTTGAAGTTAGTCATTTTGAGATATATTTTAAAAGATTATACTAAGTAACGGTTTACATCTTCTCGTTAAATCTCTATTTTACTTAATTAAATTTTTGATATTTTTAGAATATTAAACTGATATTTAATCATTTTTATCAACTAAAGATTCATAATGAAACGGGTTTTAAAGTCGTTTAAGTTGATTAATTTATAAAAATATATTGATAGAAATATTGACATTAGTAATAAATCAGCAAGGTAATGTATACCAATTGCCAACTTACATTGTTCAATAGGTGTAATAACTAATAAAATTATATCCATAAAGTTTAAATTCTCATTGATTAGAACTGTATTAAGAAAAGTAAAACTAAAAATAGCAATAGACCTTACAGAACTCAGTAAATTGTAGCTGTATGTAATACTAACGAGTAACGTATAAAAACAAATACTTGTTTTTTTGTGTGCCTAGTAAAAAAATTATTTTATTATTAAATAAATGAAGTAATATGAAATATACCCGAAGAGTCAGGATGTTCCGGTAGGATATACCTAGTGCGAGCTTTTGTTGACATTTCATAATATTTGTGTTTAGCTCTGGGGTTTAAATGTTTCCACATGTAGGCAAGTCTGAAAATAATAAATATTTATACAGTTCATTTACATATTAAATCTGCTGTATTTGTATAAAATTGAACGCTAAAACTCATTTTAGGGGCCGTTTCAAAAGTCAAATTATTTTATTTATCTCTACGAGTTTTTAAACATTTATCTTAGGTTTTAAAACAGTTTTTTATACACAAAGTATAATGAACGATTTACATGAAAGCAATTCGTTGGTTAAACTTTACCGCAAACCTATGCTCCTTCTGTTCTTAAATTGTAAAATTGTTAAGTATGAAACTAATAACACCTAATACCTATCATTTAAAACATAAAATTGTTAAGAATATAATACAAGACCATAATTTTTTTTAAAACTTTTATGTAGGTTCATCTTTGTACAAGCCTGTGACAACGCGTGTGCTTTTATATAGCTCTTACAAACGAATTGAGCGGTTTTAAACTTTAAGTGTATGCAGATATATTCTAATGTTTTAATAAATTGGTAAACCATTTGGCATATTTTGTCCGGACACAATTGCGGTTACAACTATATTCTAAAGGATTGCGGCATCCAACTAAACTTCTAGTTTATTGATTTCCACCGCAGCGGTTTGCCTCCAACCACTAACACACCCAAATTCATTGTAGTGAGTAGATATAATTTCTGGTTATTTGTTAATCGGCATTACTAAGCATGAAACGTATAATTAATACGTATAAAGTAATTTGTATTTACAATTAATATGTACATACATTATGATTATTTTAATTCTTAAGGCCTGTAGGTTATTGTCCGTCCATGAGTTTAAAATACTGTACATTAAACATTATTTACTATGTTTCACATTTTATATATTATGCCTACAACTAAAGCGCAGTCTATATTATTTTATCCAATTGTCTCAACCGACCGTGTATCTCACGTTTACAAAAAAAAAAAAAACATTTAATTTGTTAGAGTGCAAATTACGTTTACTCTCTGCCTCGGGGATGGCAAGAAGAACAGTATACCTGGTACCAGATAACAGTTACCTGGTGTTGTTGTGTAATTATTATTGGGAACACACAATAAAAAAGTAAAATTTTTATCGGTTATATTATACCTAAGAGCGTATGCATGGGTTTTATTAATAATTTATGTACATATGCCGGCGTGTGCACATATAGACCTTGGACTTGTTAATTTACTTAATTAATTTGCTCTGATAATTGCTATCGTGATATAATAGCATAACGCCAAATAAGGAGATAGGTAGTCGCATTTTGGGAGTCCATGCACATTATCTGTTCACCATAACAACTGTGCACTACCACAACTTATTCGATCACATAAATTATTCATAAGAGTGAATTTTACTTGTATGTTTAATCAAACTACATCAACACGCTCTGGTTTTAAAAAAAAACTAACTTTTATTGGGCTTGAAATGTCTATAAAACTAAAGTTCTTAAAAAATTCTG